AGTTCGGTAGCCAATGAAAATACCATGTTCATTTGCATATCGACCGTGAAAATACCGAAAACATTATTGCATGGGTGATATGCAAATTAGTTTGGGCCAAAATAAGTGACTGTCTAAAAGTACCATTATGTTGTTCAAATTTCATTTCACTCGGCAAGTATATTCATGTACCCCAAGGGGAAAATATCGTACTTCTAAATATTGTTTATTCCGAAAAACTGTACTCCTGAAGGGACTACTTTGTTTGCTCTCAGACCTCATTTGCATATGGGTTGTGGAAATACCGATTTTGATTTCAGGGACGAATCAAAATAAACTGCAGTACATAGGTAATAATTCCTGTTATTCACCAATCAGAATGCTCTGCTGTACTGACATACACATATTCTCTGACAGTTTCTGAATATTGACGATAGTCATTTTTAGCGCAATGCGAAGGTGAAGTATCGTTATGTAAAAATACAATCTATTGGCATAGATTTTGACAAAAAATGATAACATGATTTTTTAAAAACTGTTTTTTCAAAATTTTGTGCTGACCAGAAACAAATTTTTAATTTTTTTTTAAGCATAAGGAAGTAAATCCTGCTTGATCTTTTTAGCTATGCAACCAAGTTTCCACAGTCACCTAAAATAAACATTTTCAAATAAGTGTATACTGTTACATTTGTATTTACCATTTTCTTTCCTAAGCCTTGCTATGAACTTTTTCGGTGCTATCACACCAACTTTCTTCTTCTGGGAAGCAATATTGTTAAAAAGGTCGGCAAGACATGTGAGAAGGGTTTCTTTCTTCTTTGGCTGCGCTCTGTATGCTAGCACTTTGTCACGGAATGGTTTACAGAAATACAATGCTTGTAGAACAGAGTTGCAATAACAGGTATTCCCAAACTGTAGAGAAAAAGAAAGAAGTGGTAAAAACTTGTAATTTATGCAAAACACAGAATAGTTGTAGATACAAAATATATTAAATTAACATCATTCAGCAAAAATGTGTTACCAGTTTTGTATTTTATTTAATACACATTTAAAACACATCAAGCAAATATTTCAAATAAATTTCACATCTGTTCATCTTTAAAACATAATGCTTCATATTTAAATGCTTTAGCTACAAAGTTTTTATAAAATGGTTATTACTAAAAACTGTCCATACCGATGCAAGCCACCAAGTGTTCTCATTCACCTTATACAGTGTATTTTACTCTCAATTTTGATTTCACACCTTCATATGTTGGTGCAGATAACCCTTAACTTTCAAAATTACATTTTACAAATGAGCATGTAGAGAAATTTCCACTCTAAAAAAAACTTCTATGGTCATGGTGATGGACCGCAAACTTAAAAGAAGGAGCACCAATTTTTTTTGAACAATTGAGAACCAGAAACTCATAATTTCTCATGTGTGTAGTAATTGCATTGTAGCATTTTGACAGAAACTCACACAAACAAACAAAATTATAACAATAAAACATCATTCATCTGAAGTTGAAGAATGAAGGGCTTTGAAAGGATGTTACTATGTCCCAAGTGTTATTCTAGTGCATTAACAACATTCAGTTGAAATACAATAGATTACAAGAGATAGTTATGAGAGATACTTGGATGCAGGGATACTGATAATTCTACACTATGATGCACTTTGGAGGAGTACCATGGTAACCACACTATTGAGGAGTACCATGGTAACCGCTTTGTATCCAAGGCTTTGTTTATATTAAAACAGCATTAAATCAAGTGTTAATGTAATTCTACATATATTCCATAAATTAGATTTCTACATGTGTATGACCTGTGCATACAAACTAAACCAATTACAGTACATAATTCTACTTTAATTAACATGGATGAATGCACATGCTAGAAGTGACATATAGAAAGTTTGCGAGTATTTTCAATTTCAAGGGAATAAAACGACAATTATGTGTCTTTGAAAATTGGTGATTGAACAGCTCTTAAATGTCGTCAGAGCTGTGCATGTACTCATTCTACAATTCTGTTATTGTTTTTTTCTCTGGTTAATCCTTATGTACACTATGCAAAATAGAGTTCAAAACACAGTAGTGACTAGTATTGTCACAAACGAAATTTAGTTCTGACCAAGCATGACAGATAATTTTGGCTTCTGCAGATCTCAAATAACTGGTTGTTGCTATAATGTAAACATTGATGGTTTTATGAGCCCTGCCTACCCACATGTGCAGATCTGTGAACAGTGTTGCTTTAAGATCTAAGACATTTTGCAATTCCCGGAAAAATAAGGGATATTGATATTTTATAATGCTCCAATCATTTCAACAGTACCCCGGTAATTGAAAAAGCAGTGATTGAATTTTACTTTCGCTATCCATATACTTTTATCAATTTTCTGTGAATTGCTAGTATTTTTCCTTGACTTCCATAATAACTTCAAGTATCAAAGCTAATGGTATAAATATTGTATTGTCTGTGGACACGCCCAGGGTAAGTACTGATGCCAAAAATTAAAGAATCATGGTTATGGTTTATTTTATTTTGACAAATCATTTATTTTTTATTTTTCTACAATATAATGGAAATATTTTCGTACATGTCCTTTGTAAATCGAACACATTGCATTTCATGATTGCCAATTATTTTGAGAATGTATAAATCGCCGACTTTGAACAAGGCATTACGTAAAATACTGATATAGATTTCCATGACTGCTACTGATAATATCTATTTGATTGAATTTCAAAAGATTGTAATTTGTAAACATGTTTCAGTTAAATGAAAAAGAAGAAAAAGAAAAAGAAAAGAATAATGAAAAACTGAATGGGCGTACAGTTTGGCATGTACAACAAATATAAATGATAGAATATTGTATGCAAAATAATTATGCAAAATGTATGCAAATTAGGACCCTCACCAGCTATTTTGGATTGTGGAGAACACCTTGGCGTATTTGTGCCCTACATGACAGTATGTTACATGTATTGTATCACTCATTCTTTATTCATTTTCAAAGATTCGCTAAGTTAGTTTACAGTCAAACTTGTCCAGGCTGATGGCTGTTAAAAAGATTTACTTCAAAAAACTCAAGATCAATGTTTTTGTAGAGTGAAGTGGCAAGGTTTTGTGTACACATAATAAATGTTACAATTATTTAGTGTATAAAACTGACAATGATGTCCCATGATGCAACTGTACAATCAGGAAGATTCAGTTTCAGTGAAGAGTTTGGTTGGGGGGGGGGGGGGAAAGACAGACTCACCTA